GTAATTTATGTGTATAAAAGCAGTATCATTCTTCATTATCTACTATTCAAGGTTTATGAATATCAATAGCTATGAAAGAAAAAAAGCACTCTCTTCCTTTCTCACTACTGCTCTAAAGCAGCAATGACATCAATGATAAGCAGGAATCTTGAAGATCTTGACAAAGACTCCCAGTCATGAAATTCATGTTTTGTTTTGTTTTTTTGTTCTTAATTCTATAGCAGTGTTTAAATAAAAGATAATTGAAATGTTCTTAAGGTAAGTACTGCTAAAAAAAAAAATTCCTTGTAAGGTTACACCCAATTCTAACATAGGAAAAATTAAAACAGCTTTTCACTTTTCTTCTTTCAATTTATTATGTGCTACTACAGAATCTAAGATAATTTACATTTCAAACTAATTCAGAAGTAGAATTTATACATATGTTATTGACATACATGTATAAAGGAAGAAATACAGCTTAGAGTTGGGGGGGTGGAACACTTCAAATCTTTATTTTACAGAAGACAGAAAACAACACAACCAAGTCTGTATCCCTAAGTTTCACAGCTCAGGAATCATCTTCCTTCTTGAATGGAAATATTAACAATGATTTCCCCAATCCCACAATGCACTTCATTCAGCTATGAGATGTAAAAAGGCAATGCAATTAAGATAGCTAAAAACTGCCAATTACATAAGCACAAAAATGCAGCAGGTTCTAAGATTTCAAAGCATCTGAAAAAATTCCTTAAAAAAGTAAATACCCAGGGCTAGAGAGATGGCTCAGAGGTTAAGAGCACTGGCTGCTCTTCCAGAGGACCCAGGTTCAATTCCCAGCACCCACATGGCAGCTCACATCTGTCTCTAACTCCAGTTCCAGTGAATCTGATACCTTCACACCAATGCAAATAAAATAAAATTAAATAAATTATTTTTTTAAAAAAGGAAATACCCGACAGGTAGTAGTGGCACGCCTTTAATCCCAGCACTCGGGAGGCAGAGGCAGGCGGATCTCTGTGAGTTCAAGACCAGTCTGGTCTACAAGAGCTAGTTCCAGGACAGCCTCCAAAGCCATAGAGAAATCGTGTCTTGAACCCCCCCCCCAAAAAAAAGGAAATACCCAAACATTTATTTACTAACTGAAGTGAAATTTCAGTTAAATATGACTGTAGAGAAGCAGTATTACCCTGAATTGGTTCCTCTGCAAAAACTCATAAATAATGAAAGAAAGAATTACAAGGTCTTCTTCTCAGCCATCCAGCAGGTAAGCATTATAAAATCAGCATAGCTCTCTAAATTTGTTTAGGACATGCCCTCTCAGTTCAGCTTCCAAATAATTTCTTGGGTGTGGTCACTTATTTACTATCTGTCTTAACTGGTTAAAATAAAAGCTCCACATAAGAATTATTTTTAAAATTTGTATAGATAATTTATTGCACGTGTGTGTGTGCATGTGCACATGTGCATTTGTGCGCTATAGCATGCATGCATAGGTCAGAGGAAAATCTGAAGGAGCCACTCTTTCCTTCTAACACAGGAGTTCCAAGAGTCAGGCTTGAGGTCAAAAGGCGGTACCCACTGAGCCATCTTGCTGGCTCTAATTATCACTTTTGTTCAGTGCTGGAACTTGAACTTACAGCTTCACTCAAGTGTTCTACCATGGAGTTACATTCCCAGCCCCAAGAACTCTTATCTGCTTTGCTTCCTACAATATCCACATCTGAATAAGCCTATGTAAGGGCTTGCTACTATCTGAAGGAATGGTGCTTTATACTGCTGTTTTTTAAACAATAAGCATTCACTACAACATTAAAAAGTATTTCAATTCACAAACATCCCAAACTGTGTTATCTATAAAACATGAATGAAAAAGGAAATACCACTAAATAAAATCAAACACATATGTTTTCCCCTGAATAGAAACCATTTGTTTCCAAAAGGTTGGACATAGAATTGGGAGTGGGAGACCCAGGAGGAGTTGGGGGGTTACTATAATAAAAATATATTATATGCATGTATGAAAATTTTCAAAGAATTAGTAACAAATATATCTCAAAAGAAATCAAAAGTATGTCAGACTTTTTAGAGCAAAATTGAAATAAAGCTGTCACTTGAACCGCACATTTCTTGCTACAAAACTAAAAGCTGTGTGGGAAGCATGTTCAAACTGTAAAACAAGTATTTATGACTTAACACCAGCAGGGAGACAGGAAGGGCAGAGTGCAGGCCAGGAGCCTTCATTTTCCATTTCCACGAAACAAGAAATTCATGGCTTAAAATAAGCTATAGAAAGAAACTCAAAAGCATTTTGTGTCAACACTGACAATAATGGGAAAACATTAGAAAGAAAAAAATAGTATGCTGCTCGCTTATGATTCTTGCTACAGTAAAATCATCTTTTATAGAACCAGAGATGAAATGCATCTCTGCCTCCATGAAAACAAAACCACCCAGTATGTGACAATAAGAAATATGGGTTTCTATGCAGATCTTCACAATGCAAGAGCACTCATAGGATATGGGATTTGTTGGGGGACTGAAGAGAACATAGGTTGATAATCAGATGCGTTTTGGACTTTGGCTCTGCCACTTACTTTCATCACAGACAATCTAAGTGTGATTTGAGTCAGTTGGTTTTGTTTTGTTTTTCTGCTGCTTCTTGCTGTTCTTCTGTTTTATATATTTTTAAAACTAATTTATTTGTTTTATGTATATGAAGTGCTCTGTCTGCATGAATGACTTTATGCCAGAAGAGGGCATCAGATCCCACTATAGATGGTTTTGAGTCATCATGTTGTTGTTGGGAACTGAATTCAAGATCTCTGGAAGGGCAGTCAGTGCTCTTTTTTTTTTTTTTTTTTTTTTTTTAATTTTTTTTTTTTTTTTATTTTAGTTTTTTTTTTTTGGTTAAATCTTTTTTTTATTTGAATTAGAAACAAGATTGATTTCCCAGTTCCCTTCTCCCTCCCATCCTTCCCTACCACTCCCCCAACTAAAACCCTACCTATCAGATACCCTTTCTTCTATTCTTCACCTGGCAGTCAGTACTCTTAACTGCTGAGCCATCTCTCCAACCCCTGTTTTATATTTTTAACCAGCAAAAAAGTTTATGAAGACCTATCTTGTAAATCTCTGTTCAGAATATAAAGATGGTACAATTATCTAATTCCAGGCCTGGCACATCCCTGGCTATGATCTTGATCTACCTAGGCTTTTGGACATCCCCATCTCTGAATGACTCTGTTGGCTTTATTGCACTAGCCTATCACTGGGAATTCTAACAGCAGGGGCTGGTGTTGCTACCATTGTCAATCACCTCACAGCAGCCAGAGAAGATACTTATTTGAGGCAAAACAAAAGGTTCTTAAGGTGTTTTTTTTTTTTTTTTGGGGGGGGGGGGGTTTTTGTTTTTCTTTTTTTGGTGGTGTTTGTTTTTTTTTCCATTTGTTTTTAAGTTCAGAGCTGTAGCTCAGTGGAAAAGTGTTTTACCACTGCACCTCTTGTACCTATGTACAAGACTCTGGGTTCCATACCCAGCAATACATACATACATACATACACACACACACACACACACACACACACACACACACACACAGGTCGGGGAGAGGGGGGAGTGCAAGTGCAAGTGCCTTTACCCACTGAGCTATCTTACTGGCCCTAATTATTACCTTGTAATAAAGAATATAAATAAAATAATATGTATAATAAAACTATGCAATATTCCTGACTACAGTTATGGAGCATGACCTATCATAACAGCATATTTAAAAAAGAACTTGGGTGGTAGCACACGCCTTTAATCCCAGCACTTGGGAGGCAGAGGCAGTCGGATCTATGTGAGTTTGAGACCAGCCTGGTCTACAAGAGCTATTTCCAGGATGGCCTCCAAAGCCACAGAGAAACCCTGTCTCCAAAAAAAAAAAAAAAAAAAAAGAACTTGGAGGGGGAGAGTAATGAGAGAGATATCTTGATGGGGGTGCATTTGGAAGTCAGAAAGAAACCTGATGGCAGGGCAACTCCAGGAATCCACAAAGATGACCCCAGCTAAGACCCCTAGCAATAGTGGAGAGGGTACCTGAACTGGCCTTGCCCCATAATCAGACTGGTGACTACCCTAATTGTCATCAGAGAGCCTTCATCCAGTAACTGATGGAAACAGATGCAGAGATCCAAGCCAAGCTCTGGGCAGAGCTCCAGGTTAAAGGGAGGAGGGATTGTATGAGCCAGAGAGGGTCAATGTCATCATAACGAAACCCAAAGAAACAACTAACCTGGGCTCATAGGAGCTCACAGACTCTGAACCAACAGCCAGGGAGTCTGCATAGGACTGACCTAGGTCCTCTACATATGTCTGACAGTTGTGTATGTAGTTTGATCAATTTGTGGGACTCCCAGCAATAGGATCAGGCCCGTCCTTAACACTTGAGCTGGTTTTTGGGAACCTATTCCTCATGGTGGGTTGCCTTGCCCAATCTTAATACAAAGGGAGGAGCTTTGTCCTACCTCAACTTGGTATGACATGCTTTGTTGATACCCATAGAGGCCTGCCTGCTTCTGTACAGAAAGACAGGAGGAGTGGATGGGGGTGCAGGAGTGGAGGGGAAACTTTGGTCAGAATGTAAAATAAATGAAAAAAAATAATTAATTAAAAAAAAGAACTTCAGCCTTCATTTAACGAGAATACTGAATCCACTGTGGAGTTTAGATGAGATAACCAATTTCTCTTTAAAGGTTCCTAGTTTTAACTCTGATTCTAACAGGTAGCAGTTTTTGTATTTTTGAATGTCTAGGAGAAGACAATGTAAGAGATAATGTATAAACTTCACTACATTTATATACTTTTAGAAATAACCTTTATTGTTTTTGTTTGAGGGAAAAGAACTGATATTTTATATAATGATAATTCTACAATATAAAAGCCAACGTCAAGAGATCTGTCTTAAGTGTATATATTTGCATTCTCATAACAAAATACACATTAGAAACCGTCTTCTGAATACATAAAGGAGACATACCTGGGATGATGTCATTAATGTGCAGAAGAATTGTACTTTCAACACTTGCAAAGCTACAAAGCTGTACTCCATCAAACCTTCCATCCCAGTTGCCAATTGGGTTATCCTAGAAATGTCATTAAAAAGTAAACCTTTATTAAATATAAATATGAGCATCTACATTTCTTACAAAAGTATACTCTAAAATATTTTACATTGAGAAATATTAACTATTTTGCCCGAGTCTATTAGGAATATCTGCTAAAGTATCGTTTTACTAAAATAATCAGCTTACAGCAAACACACAAAATAATGAACCAAAAGTGTTTTTCATACTTTAGTCTGCAATAACAACACCAGCTGAGGTTTAAAGAGACATTATTTGCATAAGAAAATTTACTGGGAATGCATCGATGCATTGTTTTACCCAGAAACTTACTCTAAAAAGTTAATCACACATTTACATCCCCTGGGCACTTTGCTCATATGTATTACTATACACCTTTCTATAAACAGAATAGTAGTTATTTCAGAATTCTTTTGTCATCTGTGGGTATACAAGATTTTCCTCAAACAATGGAGATTTTCTAAGTTATACTCTAACTGTATCACCAGCTACATGGGTTGTTCATGAAGTACGGACAGATGATAGTGAAACAATTGCTCTGAGCACCAGTGTGTGGAATGCTAAAGTGTCCCTGGAAACAGAAAGGAATGAGTAAAGTTGCAATTGTTGAAACTTTCTTCTCAAGAAGCCTAATAGGAGTGTTAGGAACTGATGCTTACATAAATTTAATGCATGGACAGAACATGGGTAGAGCTGACAGGCAATCCTCAAGACAGCCTGCCTGGGCTAAACCTAGGCTACCATCAAAAAAAGGGGAGGACCAAAACAGCTCCTGTCACATTTAAAACCTGGGCTAAAGAACCTATAGCAAGGGGAGACTAAGTCCAAAGATTAACGGCCTTCTTTATCCAACCATCTCTACCCAGCCCAAAGCTTCTCCTCTTGAAACACTAAACTCACATTTAAAGAATACTAGCTCTTAATTACTGGTGATTCTGAGGTACCCACTAGCTCTTAATTACTGGTGATTCTGAGGTACCCACGGGTCTGGCTCTAATTTCATACAGTAAGAGTCTGGAAAATTCTTATTTTGTACCTAACTAGTGAGTATCTTACACAATTTCTAAACACAAGGTAACAGAAACATGTTAGAACATTCATACCCTACCATCTCTTTAGAATATTTCTAAATAGATAAAAATGATTACTAAAGATGTCCACTGTGTGAGTCTGCTGCTCATATCCTCTCCTAATACACCCTAGTATTAACTAACACTTATGAAGGAATCTCCTTTATCCATAACAAACTTCTGCCCATACTTTCAGTCTATGATGAAAATGTTCTCAACTTCTTTCTTCTCATTCTCTTAATGCCATAAGTTAATTCACTATGTGTACTGGAATGCACCCATTATTAACAAGTATGATTATTCAGTAATAAAAATGAGTGACACAAACAAAAGAGGCGATACCACATGACCTCACTTCTGAGGTACTTACAGGAGGCAAATACCCACACTGTAGTTAGCAGACATGGGCAAACTGAGCAGTATATATTTAATAGGAACAGAGCTCAGCATGGGATGATGAAAGACAGTGGAGAAGGCATAATGAGAATATACCAAATGCCACTGAACTGTTATTCTAACCATGGTTAAGGTAGAAACTTTCTTATAATATATACATATTTTGCCACAATAAGAAAACAGTTTTTAAACAGTGCAAGTCTTATGGGAATGCTGTGTTAACTCAAAAAGCAGTATGTTTCTTTTCCTAGGCATTTTCTATTAATGAATTTTTACATTTATTATTATCAAAAAACTAATTAAACTATCGGATATACACAAAAATGTATCAAAATCTTTTTTTCCAAAATCTTTTTAAATGAAAGGAATATACAGTATTATAAAATTTATTTGGGCTTGGTCAGGAAAGTGTCAGTTTTATTTTTTTATTTTTTTGGCTTGGTTTTTGCTTTTGTCTACTTGTCAGCTATAATAAGAATTTAAAGGAAAAGAGCATTATCCCAGTTTATTAAAACATGAAAAAAGTAGTGAATGCATTGTTTCTGCTAACATGTCCTATTTTATGATCCTGTACCAAAGATAAACTAGAATGTCTTCTTTAAAGTACTATAAATTAGTCCATTTTCAGTATACATAGTATTCTATTTATACCTAAATTGGTAATGAAACCAATACATATATTCACAATAATACAATCCAAAATTTCCTTACCATGTCCACACCAACAAAATATCCTAGACTCTCTTTTCCTGGCAAAACATCACAGAATATTACTGTTCCAGATTCTATGCTTTCTCCAACCTTCAAAGAAACTCTGGAGTTTATTTCCAAAGGAGGAGGTTCAACCTGCATTGTATCCCCTGGGCCTGCAAAATCACTTTCCAATCCGTTGTCATCATCTTCTATGAGTTCCAGCTTGTCCAATGCAACAAACACACCACAGTCTTCATCACACTGAAAAAGCTGCTTCCCTTGATACACTCCATCAGTGAAACCTTGGCCACGACCTTCTTCCTAGTTTTGAAAGAGTTTTTAAAGAGATATAAAAGGATTATCTATTGAAGGGATTTAAGGACAATTTCTTTGGAAAAACTCTAAATTACACACATAATAAGAAATACCAAGACTAGCAGCTGCTGTTGGGTTAAGGGTGCTTAAAAATAAAGAAGCTATATCTGGTGTTGAAACTAACTCCTAATTTCAGATCATAATTCTTTTGAGAAAGAGTTGGGCCAAAATGTACAACATAATTCTACCATGACTTTTGTCATGAACAGAATTCTACCTTAAGCAAACAGCAGCATTAGCTCCATTTACTGAGAACAAACTGTATGCTGTCTGCTGTAGAACTACTGCAAGTCACATGTACTCTAAGCACTTCACAGATGATGAACAAATTAGGAGAATTTGATGTAGGCTAGTTAAGCAGCCTGGCAACCCTGCTAGTATATACCATAACTGGCTGTCAAAACCTAATTATCTCACTGCTTGAAAAATCAAATCAAGAAGCAAATAAAGCATGAAAATCTACTCACAAGAACATCAGTGTGGCATTGCTGAGAACCAATATTCAGTTTGGAAATACAGAATTCTTAGATACGTTTTCAAGAGAAATAAACTCCAAGGTAATTTATACTTATCAGGGATAAGTATAAGCAAACTGAAATTGCTACAACACACTTCAAAAATCTTGCCTCTAAACTGTTATACTTAATAGCATACATAAGAACTGGAAATCCTAAAGATGATATCACAAGATATTTTTGAAGTGGTTAATTACAATTGGTAGTGCTAACTTTTAATATAGGTAACTTAAAACTTCTAAGATATGAAAGTCCAGAATAATGACTTGTATGTTTCTACTGGAAGAGATCATTTTTTTCTTTTCTTTTCATTTTTCCCAAGAAATTATTTTTTATTAGTTCAAATTAGAAACAAGCCTGCTTCACATGTTGATCTCTACTCCCTCTCCCTTTCCCTTCCCTCCCCCAACCCCCTACCAGCCCCCCTCCTCTTCCCCCTCTGCTCCCCAGGGAGGGTAAGGCCCTCCATGGGGGTTCCCCAAAGTCTGTCATATCATCCTGGGCAGGACCTAGGCCCTCCCCCATGTGTTGAGGCTGAGAGAGCATTTTAAAAATTTCCAAGAATTGTCTTTATATCCTTTCAATTTATCATTAAATTTTGGGGCTGAAATATAGCTCAGTGGCAGAGGGCCCAGGGGTCCATCCTGAGAACAGAACCAAAAACAAAAAAACAAAAAACATAAATCCTAAGGACTATGAATATTAAAAATACATTGCATAAAAAGGGGAAAACATATGCTTGTATGCGCTTGCCTGCGTTCTCTCTCTCTCTCTCTCTCTCTCTCTCTCTCTCTCTCTCTCTCTCTCTCTCTTTCTCTCTCATCAAACTTACCAGCAATTCTACTCCAAAGAAAATCCCCGACACTGTCCTCTCGGCTAATAAAGGTCCTCTGAAGCGTACAACTCCTGGAAATTTCTCTTCCCCAGATCGCAGCTGTACTTTCACAGGGCTGCCCACATCTACTTGGAGGCCTTTACTTAGTCGAATTCTGTTTCTAAATAGGCTGAGCCTCTCCTCACAGTTGGTAATTGCCAACAGTAACTCTGTGAATTTCTCATTGATTTCTACAACATCCTTTTCATCAACAAATAGAACTGCATGTGGTTGCTCTAAGATTTTTAATCCAATCTGATTTTTCTTGCCTTTTGCGGAAGGAACTCTTGAATGCCCCACAGAACGGTCTTGGATGTACTGTCCTATACTTCCTTTGGGCACTTTTAGGAGCTTCTGTGTCTGTTTGTCTGTTACACTGCATTCTTGAAGAAGGAGATAAAAAATCCGTTCTTCCCAGTAGGGTGAAGTAACTTTCTCTTGGCTCCATAGGCCTGAACTCATTGTGACAGTAACTTCAGAACATCAACTCACAAAAAGGAACCACTAGCAAATCTGTCATAAAATCCCAAAAAATGAACTCACAGGAAGTCCCAAGGCAAGTTGTTAGCAACCTGCTGTCCATGCTGTAAAAAGACAGCGATTCAAAGTGCCTGGCAAACAAGCAAAACAAACTTTAGACTCCATTCAATACAACCTTAAATTAAAGCTAAAGATTTTTAAAATCTCATTTGACTATATACATACATAAACATCTCAAAGAGCTAAAAGACACATGTGACTGTGTCCACTGTAACTGCATTCTTTAAAAACTCTAGTAACTAAGCAATAATGACTGTTCCAAAATTATAAAATTGGAGCCTATAAGAACTTAAAGGTTATCTTAATATACAGACTCTGGCACGGTTTTTAAAACTTTACATAGGTAGCATTTCTGTCTAATTTGAATAAGACACAGTACTGAGAAAACACACATAATCATATAAATTAAAAAGGGTGTTTCTAAACATGTGGCTTAGAAAGTAACAATTTCAGTATTGAGTGTCTTATCAATTAAAAATATGACAATATTACATTCTGAAACTTTATCCACAAATTCATTTATCTATATGCTCTATTTTGGAAATGGAACATTATCTCACTCAATTTTATGTTTTATACATTTTGTTTTTATTTACATGTATGTATGTTGTATCTCTGTGATTGTATGGTACATGTGTGTATTCCAGGAGGTCAAAAGAGGGACGGTTGGATCCTCTGAAGCTAGAGTTACAGGCAGTTATAAGCCACCCACCACAGGTGAAAAGAATAGAATTCAAGTCCTCTGGAAGAGCAGTACACACTCTTAACCATTGACCAATCTCTTTAGCCCCTCAATTTCATTTTCATAATCTTGTATCTTTTGTTCTTAGACAAAGATTGTTGATTATATTAATTATAACTACCATTTAATTTCTTATAATTACATGTACTAAATATTATATCTTGAATATATAAAGAATATTAGAAAATGGTTTGTAGCACCAAAATTTGGACTATGCAATAATGACATATGACTATATTACATTGCTCTAAGATTTTTAATCCAATCTGATTTTGATGTTTATATCTATAAATTATAGATGTTTATATCTATAAATTGTTGTTTTCATACCACAATTTTAACTATGTATAAAAGGAAAGAATATACAAGTGATTATTTTCCAGCTTAAATTTTTCATTTAAAACTGTTACAAAAATAATTTTACAATTCTGTAGCCTCATTTTAAAGCCTACTTTAATTGATGACTTAAAACAACATAATTTCAAGTGCTGTATATGACAAAGCCCACAGCCAACACCACACAAAATGGAGAAATGCTTGAAACAATCCCACTAAAATCAGGAGCAAGGCAAAGTTGTTCACACTGGCTACATACAAATACCACAGTTCACATGTAAAGGTACAAGGACAACATGTAGGAATTGGTTCTCTCTGTCCATCATGTAGGCTCCAGGAATCTAATTCAGGTCATCAGGCTTAGCAGCAAGCACCTTCACCTGCTAAGCCATCTTGCCAGTCAAAAATCTACTATTTCACAAGCCAATGTAAAAATACAAGTTACAAGAAAATTAGATTTAGAAGAGAGATATCTTGCCTGCCTAGATGATGATCCTGGAAGCTGAAGTTATTAAACAAAAATCCCAGTGCCAGGTGTGAGATACCTCCTTATGAACTGTCAGTCAATGAGCTTGAAAAGGCTCCCAAGACAGTCCAGACTCTTGCCAGTCCTCTTGGTTGCCCACTGGAACTAGATGATGAGATTCTATTACTTAAGACCACATTCCTTAGCTGTAAGATATAGAGAAACCAGAGCTGGAATTCTCCTGACTAGCTCCACAGTGCTGATGGGTACTATGCAGGCTGGTAGGTTGGTAGTTGGTCTTACCCAGGCTGGTAGGCTGGTAGTTGGTCTTACCCAGCTGTGAACCCTATGGACTACAATACTAATCCAGCAGGCAAAACATACCTCCTAGTGGCATGACTGTGTTGGGATGAACCAACCATGCTCTACTGGATTGGAGGCCTGCTCTACTAAAGGGAATCCATATCAAGTATTATAAACCAATGCAGAAACCCATGGCTTAGGGTGTAACTTACTACTGTTGTTTACCTAAAATGACATGGTGCCCAACTAACTTCTAAATATCTCTGGTTATACCCACAAACCAATGTTACCCTCAGCCTAAATCAGAGAAGCATCTTTTTACGATGAATGGTGATGAATGCAGAGATTCTTGGCTGTCCAAGGTGCTGAGAAAAGGGAACAGCTGAGCACTGAACTCTAAACAGAAGATTTATACTACCCTCTCTAAGGTTCGGGGAATGTTACAAAATGGGGTGGGGTTGGGAGGTGGAGAATATAAAAGCTGGAAGATAGGGAAATGGGGAGCAAAATGCTATCTTCTGCCCATAACACAACCACTGCAATCACAAACTCACAGCAGCTTTGGTCCCTGCGTTGGGCCAGTATGAGACTTGACATGTCAATAACTAGTCATGGATTAGGGAAGGGATCATGAACTTTACCCATCCTTGCTGAACTACTGGCTACTAGAGGATTCTGGGGAAGAGAAATCATCATCTTCATATATGTACCCACTATGCCCAAACTAGGATCCAGTCCCAAACCTGTACTCATACAGGTGGCCCTCATTAAGCTCAACAGGTCACAAAAGAAAAAAGGCATGAATGTGATAAAGGGACCTGTATGGAAGGAGTATGAGAGGGGTGGAAGGAAAATGAAAGAGTGGAATGAGAGTAATCAAAACACTATATACATATATGAATCCTATGAAGCACAATACTAACCCAGCAGGAACAAAACATGCCCACTAGTGACATGACTGTGATAGGCTCAACCAACCATGTTCTATTGAATTTGAGGCCTGCTCGCTAGAGGGAATCCATGCCCAGGTATTATAAACCAGTTAAGAAACCCATGGCAAAGGAGCTAATTGTCAAAGAATACATTTTAAAACCACAATTTCATTCCTTAAAATTAAGGGCTTTATTATTTAATTATCTTCATGAAAATAATGGTTTCTATGTATCTCTGTCATAAGAACGTGGCTACTTGGTTCCCAAATACAGTACTTGTTTGTTTCATCCTTCTTTGAGATGGAGATATCCTTCTCTAGCCCTGTGGTTAAAGGCAGCACTTAATAAAGCTTTCGTATGTATGTGGCTATTTTATTCTTGTAATTCAAGTCAAATACATTTAAAACTAAGGCATCAAACTGTATTATTTCACTCAATGATTAATCAAGCTGGCAATTCCACACACAGAGTAACAGATAGTGTCCTATCATAGTAACGTTTTGACAAATCTGTCCCCTCTGAAAATCCAAATGAGAGACATAGGTCACCCTCCAAACCACCATCACTTAAAGCATCTTTGCAACATTTGGTGAGGATGGAGACATGAGATTCTCCTTTCTGCTTCCTTTTGTAATGTGTCTTTAATTCCACTTGAGGGCACTGTCTACTTCGTCAGAAATGGAATCAATTTATATCTGCCAGTTACATAATACACCTGTGGACACCTCAATCTTAGCCCCACATAAACAAAATCCCTCAAAAAGGCACCCAAGAAGCTACACAACCCCTTAATATGGTTCTGTGCCTCTGAGGCCCCAAGATAAAGTGGGGTTTTTTGTTTGTTTTGTTTTTTTACTAAAATGCTGATAATATGTCAGCATTTTTCAAGAAAGGAAATTACTTTTTTCTCAATCACTAAGTTATCATTAGAATATAAATTATTATTAGTGAGCAACACTATATAAGGCTGTTTGTTACTTTATTAAAAAGCTTTCCATCCTGTCCTCTGTCTTTCTTTCCTGTTTTCTATAAATCAGTCTATATTTATATGTCCCTCTTGCAATCAGCCATTTTCTGTGGTTTCCTGAAGTCTGCCTTTGACTCTTTTTGTGGCCTCCTTGCTTTCCAATTTATTGTTTCTAATAGGTTCTAAGAAGTGAAGTGATGATGTATGTTTTTGTGTCTGAAAAAGCAAAGCAACAAAAACAAAGAGGAACAGACAAATTCTAGAAGGGTCTTGGAGAATAAGGTGCATAAAGCCTTATTACAAAGATATACTTGAGACTCTTCCGAGAGGTTGAGGCAGTCAAAAAGCAGTTAGTTGTTGTTTGAGGTCTCTTTAAATGCAAAATTTTTGGCCAAAACCGTTTCATAGCTATTTTATTTTTAAAATAAATTATTTCTATTTCTAAAATTTTCTAAAAAAAATTCTAAAACCAGGTATCTTTAAATAGTACATTGGAAACTGCCTATTCTGTTGGTTTTCTAACTTAACAACTAATGCCACAATTGGAAATGGAAAACATTAGTGTTAATGAAACATTATCAAAGGAAAACAAATCATTGTATATGTTTTAGGATATTATATTTTTAAATGAATTTGATTACAAAATTGCCTTTTACAACTCATTAAGGGAAGTAGTCCAAGGTTTAAAAAGAATAATATAGCCACTTTGTAAAAAAAGGTTCATGGAAATAAACAGAAGTAAAAAAAGGTTCATGGAAATAAACAGAAGTAAAAAAAGGAATAAACAGAAGTAAATAAACAGAAGTTTTAAAGCACCATTCTTAAAGTGAACTAGACAAAGTGATGAACGTCTACCAACTTGTTGCACAAGTGAACCTGAGTTTATACTCAGTAACAGGATAGGTTACAAGAGACAACTAGAATAATCAAAGTAAATGTTACAAAATACTTTCTTACGGTAAAGCTTCCCTCTTTTAGAAGGAATATATTAAGAATAGATTTGAAATACATTAAAATTAATTTCCTTCATTACAAATAATAAAGTTGAAAGAAGAATTTTATGGTTCTTTCTAGAATGATCATTTATCATTTCAAGATATTAGCATTACAAAAGAAATGCACTAACATATCTTTCTTCCCACTGTAGTAATGAATATAATGCTAATATTCTCATTCCACTGAGATCCTCACAGGAGTTAAATGAAGCTTAAAACACCATGCAATAAAAACAGCCTCAAGACTCTACAAAGGGGTGGGGGCGAGACTCTACAAAGAGAAACATCAAAATCACATTGTGAGTTCCTTCCAGACCAGGGGTTAGTATC